GAGGAGCCTCTGCTGAAGGACAACCCTCGCCGCTTCGTCATCTTCCCCATCGAGTACCACGATATCTGGCAGATGTACAAGAAGGCAGAGGCGTCCTTTTGGACGGCAGAGGAGGTGGGTGGAGCTGCTGTAATGGGGCGGGGCTAGATGCTGACCTCGGTGATACTGACGTGTTCTCTCTGCAGGTGGATCTGTCCAAGGACCTGCAGCACTGGGATGCCATGAAGGACGAAGAGCGCTACTTCATCTCCCACGTGTTGGCCTTCTTCGCCGCCAGCGACGGCATCGTCAACGAGAACCTGGTGAGACGCTGCGCCTGCTCTTACAGATCGTTTTGAGGTCACGGACCGCTGTAACGTTCTTGTTGTCGTTCTTTGACCAACAGGTGGAGCGCTTCATGCAGGAAGTGCAGGTGACGGAGGCCCGGTGTTTCTACGGTTTTCAGATCGCCATGGAGAACATCCACTCGGAGATGTACAGCCTGCTGATCGACACGTACATCAAGGACCCCAAAGAGAGGTACGCAGGAGGCGGGCCAAATACTGTTCTGTAGTGGCTTAACTGGCCTGTACTGATCTAACTGGTGAGTGACGATGTGTTCCCGCCCTCAGAGAGTACCTGTTTAATGCCATCGAGACGCTGCCGTGCGTGAAGAAGAAGGCCGACTGGGCGCTCAACTGGATCGGCAACAAGAACGCCACCTATGGTAAATAAGCTGCTGCCCATTAGGCCACCTGACTCAATGGCTCCACCTCAAGGAGCTTTATTGATTATTGTCTGTTTATTGATCTGCAGGGGAGCGCGTGGTGGCCTTTGCCGCTGTGGAGGGGATCTTCTTCTCGGGCTCGTTCGCCGCCATCTTCTGGCTGAAGAAGAGAGGCCTGATGCCCGGCCTGACCTTCTCCAACGAGCTCATCAGCAGAGACGAGGTGAGGCGCCCTGTTGCTGTCGGATCGCAGGTATTGATCCAGTGATGATGTCACTCTTAACGTGTGTGTTTGTGCGCCTGCTGCGTTTAGGGTCTGCACTGTGACTTTGCCTGTCTGATGTTCAAACACCTGGTGAACAAACCGCCCAAGGAAACCGTCATCAGCATCATCAAGAACGCCGTGGAGATCGAGCAGGTGAGTCCCAGCTTCACCTGCAGCTGCTCTGCTGGGCCCACTGGTTCATGGTGGATTTACTGGTTCAGGATGGCTTTAATGGGTTTATTGGTTTGTGTGCAGGAGTTCCTGACTGACGCTCTGCCCGTCAAGCTCATCGGGATGAACTGCGACATGATGAAACGGTACATCGAGTTCGTGGCCGACAGACTGTTGCTGGAGCTCGGCTTCTCCAAGGTAACGCCCCACACAGGTCATGTGATCGATCATGTGACTGACTTAAAGGCAGAAAAACAGCATCATAAAACATCCGCACTCATCTCAGTCACAAGCTAAACTTTTAAAATAAAAAATGATCAGTTCTCCACACAGACACATTTTAGGAACTCTTTGATCTCAGAGAGCGACATGAGGAAGGTGATGGTGTGAGTGATGATGAAGTGCGCAGGGGTACGGACCTCAGCCGGTGATGGGGGCTGAGTGCTGCTGCAGAGTCTGATCAGAGGACGAGTGGTTCTCTGACGGACAGCGGCAGTGCGACACAGACGCCTATCTGAACTCGCCCAGGGGTGGGGGCGGGTGACCTCAGGGTGGGGGCAGTGGGTGGAGCTGACTGACATGGTGTTTCTGTGTGCAGATCTACCGGGTGGAGAACCCTTTTGACTTCATGGAGAACATCTCCCTGGAGGGAAAGACCAACTTCTTTGAGAAGCGGGTGGGCGAGTACCAGAGGATGGGCGTGATGGCGACGCCCACGGACAACACCTTCCGGTTGGATGCTGACTTCTGATGGTGGAGCGTCCCTGCTGTCACACTACCTCCGTCCCGGTGCATGCTGGAACAGACTCTTGGACTTTAAGGATCAAATGATGAACTGAATCTTTATTTACAGACTTGTGAGTCTGAGCCGCAGCATTAGACCTGATCAAATCTAACGCTGCGGCTCAGCGCTGTGTAAATATGTCGGGGTTTTAAATGTGTACAGTTTACATTTGTTTTTGGGGGTTTTTTGTTTGTTTTTGTTTTTTTTTAGTGTATTTTTAATACTGAGCTTTAATAAATGACTCCGTGAACAGGAACCAGCTCCGGTCTTTTTCTTCTGACATCAAGTTGAACTGAAAAGTTTAAAACATTTTTTTAAAATCTGGTTCCTCAGGTTTTATCTGATTTGACCGCGTAAACTTAGAAAGTCATGTTCATAGGGAAAACTAATCTGACCCAGCGTCATGGCTGGGCGGTGATCTGGTCCCTGTGGTGGCGCCAGCACCACTATCATCAGCTGCTTTTGGAACAAAAAAGCTGGACAGATGTGAGGAATGACAGACTTTTATTTTGAAAACACTGGACAAGACATGGGTTTTTAGTAAAAGAGGAAATTAAGTTAGAATCTGTTAAATGATTGGTTACGGAGGAGGCGTCAGTGGTTTATTTTTTTATATGGCTTCGTGTTCATGATAGTTAGCAGGCGCTCAGAGGACTCTGACGACAAGCAGTGTCACATCTCCTTTCACCTCCACCTGGTTGATGGCGCTCAGCTCCTTCATGCGGTGTTTGTAATCGAGCTGGTGCTGCCCATTCATGGCAACTCTGAAGTGCTGCGCGTCGCAGCGGATGATCATCTGCAGGGAGATGACAGCAGGTTTAAAAACAACTTAAAAAAAAAATCACAACATGTGGATGTTAGGGCAGGGGTCAAAGGTCACCTCAAAGTACTGCCCCGCAGTAAAGGGGAAGGAAGCGAGCGCCATCTCCTCATGACCCCAGCAGTCAGACAGAAAGGAGTTCCTGACAAAGACACGCTTCTTCAAGCGAGGGTTCAGGTGGAGAGCGATGTCGGACCCGGTTGCTGGCCGCAGGTTCACGCAGAAACTGTAACAGGAAGTGATGTCATTAATGAGCCATGAAAGGCTAAACCGAAACTCTGAACTGCTTCATGTTTACTTTCTCTGCAGGTTCATGCAAGGTGGTCTGTGATGATTAAGTGACGGTCACATAACTCAATTTAAATTTATATTTAAATAAAACCTGTAAACTCTGAAAATGCTTCAGTGACTTTAATCCAAACATTGTTTATTTAAACTTGAACTTCAGTTTAAGCTAATCAGTTTCTACTGGCTCCAGACTTCAGGTTTACTACGAAGAAGTTATTCATCACAGTCAGGTTTTCATTGTGTTAGTCGGCTCAACAATAGCTAAACCCCACAAACATAATGTCTCTGAGCAGCTTGTGGAGTCAGCTTGTAAATCAGAGCCTGTATTCACAAAGTTGTGATTAATTTATTATGAATTTAAGAATATAAAACTTATGTTGTCATTAACAAGAACAAAATTTTTACTAAAGTTAATTTAAGTTCTGATTGATGCCTCACTGATTGTCGCTTTGATCAGTTTCTGTACTGGGCTCCCACAGCTGTTTATTATCCTTACCTCTCTGCGTTCTGATTGGTCTCTCCTTTGATGATGATGCTGCGTCCGACTGCCATCCCATTAACCAGCTGACCTCTGAACGGGATACTCTGCAGGAAACAGGGAGTCAGACACACTAAAACATTTCCCTTTTTTTGGCTTTATAGTTTTAAATATAAATTTAGATCTGTGTTAAAAGTTAGAAGATCATTTGGTATCAAATAAGATCAGTGATCTCACTGATTAACGTAAGATCAATCGGTGAAATATGATAAATAATTTTCTTTACCAAAATATGATTTCAGGCCAACCATGTGGGCTGATATAATATGACTGATATAAAAAACAGAGTTTAATTGATTATATTTATGTTAAGTAAAAGAAGCTAAAAGTTGCTTTAAAAATAATTCATTCAAATTTCTTTCTATTAAACTGTTGTTATTGTAAGAAATAAATGCATCATCAATCAATGATTTGATCAGGAAAACTCACCAAATCACCTGATGAGGAGAACACTGGCTGAAACGCATGGAAAAAAATCTGATTAAAATCTGATCGACTGATGCATAACTCTAGCCAATCAGACCACATCCGACGCTGATCAAAAAACAGACGCAGTTTTTCCAGAAAGGTCCACGTTACCGTTGCCCTGTGATGACTCGTGTCCTGTGCTACAAAGATACCCAAGTTATCTTTCTACTATGATCCACTTAAGCTAACAGTGAGGGTCAGAGTTCACACCAAGCTGGTTATCAACTGGGTAAGTAACTCAGGATTTGACCTGTGCAGTCACATGAAAGGGGCGGGGCTTTCATATTTGGAGGCTTTTCACAGATCATGTGACTTTTCTTCCACAGCAACAATCCTTATGAGTGCCAGCCATCCAGAGATGCTATCAGACAGTGATTTCAAATCTTTAGCTAACATAAAACTATAAAAGTGAAATGCAAATGCAACACAGATATTGAAAGGACACCTGATCAATTATTGCTGATTCGTCTGTGTCCTTATTGGGCAGACTGCCAGCGGGAGAGGTGGGGCTCTGAAACAAACAAACAAACAAACAGGTTAACCCTCTGATGGTAAAGCTGCAGGTTGCCACGGGTTACAGAGACACTCACTGAGCTCGGGGAAAGGATGCCCACAGCCTGAACTTTGACTTTTCCTGAGATGCTGATGGTGTCAACATGCTCCAGCTCCACTCTGTGTTTGTACTCCAGCAGGTGGGCGCCGTTCACAGCCACCTGAACACGCACGGAAAACAACACATCGTTGGACACCAGTTTGGCTCGCATTGAACAGTTAAACTAAAGTTCTGCCGTGCTGACTCTTCTCTGACACCTGATTGGTCGGCTCGTCTCTCACCTTGAACTGGTCTTGGAGGATGAGGATGATGAGCTCGAAGTCGACCTCGAGCCTGAAGGGCATCTCGTAGTGGATCTGTTCGCGGCCCCAGCACTCTTTCGTCAGCGTGTTGCACACGATGGACGACTTTTTGATCCTCGGGTTGAAATGGAACGCTACGTCGGCCCGCGGCTTCACGCTGCTGCCGCAGGTGAAGTCCACCTGGAACCTGTGAGACAGCGAACAGAGAGAGAAGATCCCGCTTTAAGAATCTGCACCCCGACTCTGACGTTTGTTTTTTTTTAAATATCTGATTGATTATGAAGATCGGCATCCTCACCTGTCAGCACCAGACGGCACAGAACCCTTGATCAGAACCATCTCACCTGGCAAGAACCCACCCAGGATCGTCCCAGCAAAGGGAATCGACTGTGGACAGAACACCACAAACATGAGGAGGGTCAGATGACCACAGAGAACACCTAGAAACACCTGAGAGGAGGGACTAGATCGGTGTGAATGAACCAGAGCTCAAACCTCCGTCAGCAGCTGATCAGATTAGAATCTGAAATTAGAATGTAACAGGAGAATCACAGAAATCCTCCTGCTTTCACGTAGAGACGCTCAGAGAAAACCTCCACCCGTTTACACGTATCTACAAATTTCATATATTTAGAGGTTTTTCCAAAAGTTTGATTTGGCACAGATTTTATGCCGAATGTCCTCCCTGACACAACCCTCCTGTTTGCCTGGGCTCTGACCTGCGGATGGGTGTGTCTCCCCTCCTGGGCTTGAATGTGTTACCCTGCATGCAGCACAGATCCACGTCTGTGCATTTGAAATAAAGTGAAATAAACGTGTCTAAACAGATTCAAGAAACGTTTGCTACATTCTTCCTGTCTCACAGTCAGGAAACATCTGCCCTGACAGTACTGCACTACTGCACGTTTGACCAAGCTTTGTGTCTCAGTTTAATTTTTGATATTATTTCTGCCTGAGCTGGTCGTTGTGCACGTTTGCACAGCATCGTTCTGTCAGGAGAAACTCTTGGATGGGACTCTCCACCAGCTGCTCTTAGAAGTGAAGAAGCTTTTCCATGAGACGAGGTGAAGCGTCTTCAAGAAACTTAAAGATGTCCAGTCGCTTTTCTTTCCAAGCTCCTTAGACTACCATGACCTGGATCACTGCGAACCTTCACAGACATCTTTGATTTGATTATAAAAAAATAACTAAAATAAAAGCAGAGCAGTAAATAATCTGCTCTCAGGTCTGTGGACTGTCTGTCTGTATCAGGCCGTCAGTTCTGCTTTCAGGTCCAAAGTATTCTCATTAAGCTTGTTCCGCACTTGTAGTCAAACGATTCTGACTCCAGGTAAAGACACCTACTAGCTCACTTGAATCACCACAGTAAGACTGTGTGAAGAGTCATGTGCAAAGGTGGCAAAAGTGCTCGCTCATCTTGGCTAACTAGATGCTGAAGTATTGCAAACACAGTTTACAGACACCTGCAGTGGTTCTGGTCTTCATGTGACATCCTCAGGGGACTAATAAACGAATAGGACTGCCTGTCATGTGTTTCTGTTCAGGCTCAGATGAGTTTGATGTTTGAGGCTCACAGTGATAAAATAATAACTCCCCCAAAGACGTCAAACCTGAAGTCCGTTCTGAAAATGTGAGGAGCAGAAGGTTCAGGTGTTTGTTTCAAATGTTGGGAGTGAAAATAAAAAGAAGTCAGAAAAAAAAAAACTACTCAAGTACCAACAAAGTATTTGTACTTTGTTACGTCCCACCTCTGGTCATGTGATCATTATTAAACTTCAAACAGTGCTCCACCTGCAGGAAAATATATAAGTTTATAGGTGGACCTGAATCGGGTGACCTGTGACTGTAATTGTAAACTGGTGCTAAAGAAATAAAGTTGAATTGAATTACAGTGACTTGTAGTCAAGTTACTTTTGCCCACAGCTCTGCTAACATCCCAACAAAGAATCTCTGTTGTTTCTCACATGTTTGAGCTGAATTCAAACCTTTTTCTTTTTGACTGTTATAATCATATCAGCGGTTTTATGAAGGGCAGCTTTCAGCAGCTGAGTCACTGATTTAAAGCTGGTTTTGTTCTCTCAGCAGGTCGAGACTTCCTGCAGGTTTTCTTTGTCTAGATCTGAAGGCCTGTTTTTACCTCCTCTTGTTCACTGTGAACATTTTCTTCCTGCTTTCATTAGTAGATTTTATCCTGGG